CCAACACCAGGGCAGGGTTTGCCAGTTTATGAGCCAGGTGGGGCTGGCTGGGAGGAAGGCACAGTGGGCTGTGTATCATGGAGGGGGGCCTTGCAGCTGTGTAGCCAGCCAGGGAACTGGAGCACCTGAAGATCATGAAAGCTTCCAACCTGCTGGGCAGAGTGCACCCGGACAATTTTGTCTACCTGTTCTTTCTCCTGAGCAGTAAGCTCTGTGAAATTCTTGCCCCTTTAGCAGCCCTCTTGCTAAGGACTTCCTTGTTAGGAAGTCTCTCAGACTGCCCACCTTTCTTTTGTCCCAGAGCAGCCGGATATGGATCGCTGCTTTCCACAAGCAGCTGGAATCTCAGTCTTTCCAGGAATTCTGCCTGTCTTAGCTTTCCAATCCCCTAATCACTAGAGTACCATGCAAGCACCATGAAATGTGCATTTGTGCTCCCAGAGCAGATCTCTGGAGCTAGGTATTCAGCAGTCCCAGGCCTCCACTCCCTCCCCGCTCTGTTTCTCTTCTTCCAGCCGGTGAGCTGGAGTGGGGGAAGGGCTTGGGTCCCGCTGGGCCACAGCTTTGGTATGTTACCTTGTTCCGTGAGGTCTGCTCTTTTCTCTAGGTGTATGCAGTGTGGCACAGTCCTCTTTCCCATTGCTCTTTCAGGATTAGTTGTATTAATTATGTTTTTGTATTATATGCAGTTTTAGGAGGAAGCCTCTGTCTCACCTCTGTTGCCGCTATCTTTTCATCATTATACATTTTTTGATCAAAGCCTGAAACTTTTATTTATTTATTTTCCTAATTGTTATGGGAGTAAATAGGTAACCTGGTAATTTCTACTCCCCTTCTCTCCTCCTTTGGAACCTAGACAGAGGAAGTGACTATGTGTAAATGACTTCTGGAAATCAGTCTTCTAATGGCACAGCAAATTAAATGGAAATGGAATTTTAGACTCAGCACCTAATTTTAGGCTTGTCACTTTCCTCTAATGGGCTGTATGACCTTGAGCAAGTCACTTCACTTCTCTGATTTTAGTTTTCTTATTTATGAGTAAAGTTTTAGGACCACATGATCTCAAAGGTTCCTTTTAATTTTAAAGTTTTGAGTTTCTACATGATAATCCTGAAAGGCTACATTTATTAAATCTTCTCTATGGCTAAAAGATTATTCATTTGTTACAGATTTTTTTGATGCCTTCTGATTTGAAGAATGTCCAGCTGCTCTGATGATAGCTTAAGAAGACTACATGCTGTTCCCTCTCGATGCCCAGCCAGGCCCACTTGGAACCTTGGATCTTAGTCCTTCATGGAGACCAGGTCCCAGCAGGAATGGCAGTGGAGGAAATTAGCACCCAGATGGTTTCTCTGCATGAAGTTGTCTTCAGCTGTGGGCCGACTCAGGAACACCTGGTAGCCAGGTCAGCCCTCTGTCAGTCACCCAGGCCAGGGCAGCATGGTGCGCATCCAGAGGAGATGGCTTTTGGCATCTTGCCTGTGCCTCACAGCTGCTATCTTTCTGCTTGTCACACTCCAGGTACCAAGAATTGGGTCGTGTGGTGTTGATTCCTGGGTCCTTGCCACCGCCCCCACCCCTACCCTGTTCTCCCCATGTACTTTGCTTTTTGTTTAACCTCTCAGGATCAGGGGTTTTCTATCTAAGGCAGGGAAAATACTTTTTTTTTTTTTAACAGATGAAACAGGTTTAATGAGTGGTGTGTCAGGTAGAAACAAAATCACTGAGATAGGGGGTCAGTCTGTGGCTCCTGTTGGTCCTACTTTTAGAGGAACGTCAAGGGAAGCTCTGTCTATTTTACTGGGTCAAAAATGGCTGGCTTCCTCAAAGTCTTCTCTCATAATCACCTCTGAAAGATGGCGTCCTTGAAGGGGGTCAGTCTGTGGCTCCTGTTGGTCCTACTTTTAGAGGAACGTCAAGGGAAGCTCTGTCTATTTTACTGGGTCAAAAATGGCTGGCTTCCTCAAAGTCTTCTCTCATAATCACCTCTGAAAGATGGCGTCCTTGAAGAAGCAGTGACTATTCTGAGACCAAGATAGCCTATTCTTCTGAAACAAGCATCTGCATTCATAAATCTGTCATTCTTGACATATGCTCTAGACCAAGGATGTGTATTCAGGTTCATGAACTACAACATTTCTTTAGTCCTTTCATTTATTTTGTTTAGTCAGTTAATCTGACCTTCAGTTGCTAATTTCAAATTCAAGTAAAAATTACACAGTGATAGTGAAATTACATATATGAATTTAGATATATTTTGCACTCATTCAAGTACCAGCTGTCCATTTTGAAATCCAAAGGACTTTGTAAGATTATTTGTAGATATGAGTGGTTCAGGTGGGTTGATAGAAACAAAGATGTTGTCTGGGCTTTTTCACTCTAGAGTGTGTCTTCTCCTTCTCCTTGATTAGGATTGAATGAGATAATGCTTAGAAAGCACTTTAGCAGACAGTCCGGAGCCGGACTCCTGCCACTGGGATTCTCGTCAGAGGAAACACTTGGCTTCTGTCTTGGAAGTATCCAGGACCTGCTTGAGCAGTAGGGGCTGGAGATTTTTGCTTCTTTCTGTGGGAATTTATGAGAGAGTTTTGATCTTACTATAGACATTTACTTTGACACTTTTTCCATTTACGAGGAATGCCTGTGTCTAAGATAAGAGCTTTCCCTTTTGATATCAGAATAAGTTACCTTGTTTTTGGTACGCATGTCATTTCTAAGTTTCTAGCATATGAGAAATGGTATGATTACTGGAGCTAAGGCTTCCTCTGGGTTTTGGTTTCAGTTTGTTACCAATAGTAAGGTTTGGGCTGTTCCAGTCCATACTGAGAGACTGAATGCTGGAGTATTCAGAGTTGCAACAATGCTATTTTTTTTCAAGCACTATAAATGAAAAAAAACAGCCTATTTAGGACCATTCCTGTTTTCGCTGGTTTACTGATTAGGCAGATAAACTAATTTGCCACATCAATAGTATAAAGGAAGAATAAATTGAAAAGAATAATGTTATAGGCAAATGTTATGATTTCTTTAATTGTAATAAAAAAACCAATTGGTAATTTATAACTAATTTTTCCTAGAGTATAATCTGTAGTAATAGCCAAGTTTATTATTGATTCTCATAGTTTTCATTAGGAGATAGAAACATTTCTGGATATTATATATGTGCCTATGAAATGGAGGAGAAATATACCTGTTATGTTTCATAGAATTAAGCATCCTTGTTAGTGTGTATTTTAAAGGCTATGTCCACGCCATAATCCCTAGATTCTGTGGATATGTTACCTTATGTGGCAAAAGGAACTGTGCGGATTGGATTATGGTGATACACATTGAGATGAGATTATCCAGAATTATCTGAGTAGGCCCAGTATAATCACAGCAATCCTTAAAAGCAGTGATTGTTTTCTGGCTGTGCTCAGAGAGATGTGACAACAGAAAAAGAGACACAGATGCAACATTGCTGGCTTTGCTTGGATCCTGAGAGCCAAGAATTGTGGGTGGCTCTAAAAGATAGAAAAGCCAGAAGATGATTCTCTTCCAGAATTTCCAGGAAGGAATGTAGCCCTCTTGACACCTTGATGCCAGCCTCATGAGACCCCTGTTAGACTTCTGATCTCCAGAACTATGCAGGAATAAATGTGTATTTTCAATCACTAAGTTTGTGGTAATTTGTTGAAGCAGCAATAGAAAACTAAATGAAGCTAAACCATCAAAATGAAAGGGAAAAATGCAGAAGGAAGTTAGATAGCCTGACTCTGATAATAATTATCTTCTCTTTTAGGTAGTGGTTGAGCTGGGAAAATTTGAAAGGAAGAAGTTTAAAAATTCCATTTTGCAAGATGGACATGCAAAAATGGAGGAAGAGCCTACACATCTCTATCCATTCCCTAAGAAAGAAGCACTGACCCTGAATAGGGGAACAAAATTGGGAAGAGATAGCTACCCCATTATGCTCTGGTGGTCCCCACTGACTGGGGAAACTGGAAGGCTCCGCCAGTGCGGGCCAGTTGCTTGTTTCTTCACCATGAACCGGACCTACCTGCATGAGCCCATGACCAGGGCCCTCCTCTTCTATGGTAAGAAGGCCTGTTGCCTTTCTCCCTGTGTTTGCCGACACCCTATTCCAAAGCGGAGGTACTGCTCACCTCCCAAGGGAGACGTAGTGGAGCTCACCTTCAAATGTTTTGGCATGCCTGATTTCCCTTGCTATTGCTCTGTGGAAGGCCTGAGCTTTTGGCAAATAGAATAAATAAATAAGCTTGACCAACATATCAGTGATTGGCTGGTCCACTTGGTATTTACGGAGGAGGAGAGTATTGTGCTTACTGAATCTGGTATTCAGGGAGTTGGGTATTGATTATATCGCTGATATCAATTCACAATGTCACCTGTGATGACAGCCAGGAGATGTTGATCACCATGCCAGATGTTTAATAGGGCATAAACAAAACACACTTGTTAATTTCATTAGATTAATCAGAAATAAAAATAAAATGATTATTTAGCATCAGCTTCCAAGAACAAGTTGATATTCATCACTTCATGAGGCTGATTATATGTCATGCTGGGACTGGCCCCCAAATCCAGCTAGGTGGAGTTAGCAAGATGCCAGCAGCAGTTGATAATCCAGAGCTCCTGGGTGATGAGTGGTAGAGGGGGATTACAGATGAGCAAAATATAAGCAAGGTCAGTAAATTAGAAAGACAATGAGAGGAAATCTGCTTTAGAGTGGTGTGAATGTGTATACTGTGTTTGTGTGTATGTGTGTGCATGTATACCTACACAATAACGTAAATGATATGTAGTATTTTAGATGTTCTAAAAATTAACTAGTGTATGTTAACTTTCTATCTGTAACTTGCTTTTTCTCTTACATGGTTTTTGATGCTTATTAATGTTGGATCCTTATAGCACCCAACCATCCCTTTTCGCTATTGTATAGTACTCCATCATAGTTGTCTGTGTTGCACTTCATTTAAACATTTTCCTGTTGTTGGACATTTAGGTTATCTTAAAACCTTTATAACAAACCGCTACAATAAACAATCTGTGGGCATGTGTGACCTTTCTTGAGGTTTCATATTTAGTAGTGGAATTATTTGGTATGAATTTACATTTACTAGATATTGCCAATGCAATATCCAAAGTGGTTGTATGACAGTCACTGTCTTTTAATCATTTAAAACTTTTAAATATGTTGTACATGCCCATATATCTCCTGTATTTCCAAATAACATGCTTAGATTGTTACTTCTTGATTTTTCAGTTTTGGATATTATAGATTTGATTCTTACTGCAGAAGATGACTTTTTAACACTCCTTTCCTACCCCTACCCCCTTCCCCATGCTCAATTTTCATCCCCTTAGCCTTCCCAAATAGTCATATCATTTTTGAGAGATTAATATTCAGTGTCTGCACAACTTACTGTTTGCCCTGGAGCAGCCTCATTTTTTCTTAAAGAGATGTCTCCCAGAGATCCCCGGCCTGCTCCAGTCTAGAGCGATTGTCCTTTTTGCCAGGTGCATGGGTGCCGTCCTGGCTCCCCATTATTCAGTGGATTCCCTGTGTCTTGCTCTTGTGTTAGATTTCCTGTTTCTTTTATGCCTCATTTTCCTCTTGGTTTATGTTTTCATTTCAGTGTATTCTGAGGGAGGTTCATGGAAGGTAAGTTTTCAGAGACTTTGTGTGCAAATGTGTTTGTTTCACCCTTATCTGCATTGATGGTTTAGTTCATCATGTAATTCTAAGTTGGAAATTTCTTATCTTTCTGAATTGTAAAGACAGTTTTCCCACTGTCTTTGAGCTTCTAGTGTTACTTCTGGATACCGATGAATCCAAACGATTTTGCTTCCCTGTCCTCTGTTTGGAGCATGGTTATGTGTTCCCTTCTCCCTTCTCTGAAAAAAATGAAGAACCTTCTCTTTTTTCACAGAAATTTAGTAATGATTGCTTTGGTGTGAGTTATTTCCTTTTACTGAAGTGGGCTCTGAAATAGCTAGTTGCCAGGAAGGCTACAAAGCTGGATTTAGTCTAGTGACTTTTCCAGGACTTACACAGCTACAGGTTCACACACTTACTTTTATCTGTACATCAAGACTGAGTTCTTTTCTTAGAGATGGACTGGCCTCCAGTCTAGTTCCCAGGAGACTGATGTGTCAGCCAGAATGCTTCTGGTTTAATTTTGTATCTCAGATTTTGTTGCTCTTGAGTTTCTAAAACCATCACTGACTCTCATTAAGAACTGAATATATGCCATTTTTATTACCCTGTCATTCAAGGCTTGTGTAATCTGATTCCAGTCTACCCTCTAAACTTAACCCCTGTGATTCTGCGAGCTAAGCCCAATGTTCAGAATTCAACTGCAGTAGTCACCATCTTAAGCATAAGCCACAAATGTTCCTAACTTAGCACCATCATTCATTCAGTTTCTACATTCTGTAGTGTTCTTATATTTGTCCTGTTAAAATAATCTACTGAATATCTATTATTTGTTTGGTCCTGTGAATGAATAACAGAGTGTCTGACGTCAAAGACTGAGAAAAAGGTATTACCCAACTGGAATGCAGGGCTAACTGGCATATAGACCATGAGAGAAAGGTCAGCAAATCTTATGGAATGTCAAAGACGAGAGAGAGCACACATGATTGGTGGGATCAGGAAAGGCTTCAAAAGACCTCCTTCATAAAAAAAGAGAAATTTAAAGTGGGCCTTACAGGATAATGGAATTGGATTGTGTTGTGATTGGAGGACATTTCAGTATGACAAACACCACAGATGTGGGTATGAAGGTAGAATACTGTAGGTAATACCTGTGGTACAAGACTATAGCATAGTTTTGTGTAAGAGGGAGATGAAGATTCAAGGATATATTGGAACCAGAGCATGGAGAACCTTGAACATTGGCTTAAGATTTTGCATCAAATTACAGGATGGTATCAGGGAGCCACTGAATGGCCTTTTTAAAAAACCAACTCAGATATAAAACCTATGAACCATTCCTAATTCCCCTCCATCAGATGTAGCTTCTCTTTTCTAAATGTCCATAGAAAATTTTATATCTCTTTCTTGTCATTTAATTGAGCATCTGCCACATGTCTGGCACAATGCCAGTCATGAGCAATAACAGATAAATAAGGTAACTGGCATTTGGTTTTCTCCTGTATAATCTTCCCTATTAGAGTATAAAGTTGATGATGGGACAACATCAATTCATCTTTGTACCTCTCTGTGACTATGACTGGCACAGTACCTTGTACATGATAGGTGATCAGGAAACATTCGTAAAGATTTAGGGCCATAAAGAACATGAGAGAGAGTCTAAACTCCTCTTCATAAAGATGAGAAGGACCAAGGCTCAGGAAGGTGCCAAGAGTACATTGGAATTAGCTGAGTTGGGCAGAGCACTAAGCTTCCTGACACCCGCCCCAGGGCACTTTCACCTCTACCGTATTTTGAATGTACACTCATGACTGCAATTAAACGTGGATATTTGTATTTTGCTTAAGCTGTAGTTTTTTTAAAGATTTTTTAAAAAGTATCATATACAATCTTGTGAAGGTTTCATATGAACCACATTGCGGACATTCACCCATATTATCAAGTGCTCCCCCCACCCCATTGCCATCACTACTGTCTATGAGCATAGTAAGATGCTATAGAGTCATTACTTATCTTCTCCGTGCTGTACTGCCTTCACCATGACCTACCGACATTGTGAGTGCTAATTATAATGCCTCTTAATCCCCTTCTCCCTCCCTCCCCACCTACTCTCCCCAACCTCTTCCCCTTGGTAACCACTAGTCCCTACTTAGAGTCTGTGAGTCTGCTGCTGTTTTGCTCCTTCAGTTTTGCTTTTTTTTAATACTTCACAAGTGAGTGAAGTCATTGGTACTTGTCTTTCTCTGCTGGTTTATTTCATTGAACATAATAATACCCTCTAGCTCCATCCATGTTGCAATGGCAATGGTAGGATTTCTTTTCTTCTTATGGCTGAATAATATTCCATTGTGTATATGTACCACATCTTTATCCACTCATCTACTGATGGACACTTAGGTTGCTTCCATATCTTGG